GGGAAGACCAGCGGGAGTAGGAGGAGGAACGGGAGGACGAACAGGGGGGAGAAGATGGTGGAGAGAGAGAGAGAGAGAGAGAGAGAGAGAGAGAGAGAGAGAGAGAGAGAGAGAGAGAGAGAGAGAGAGAGAGAGAGAGACCCCGCTCCACGGCATACAGGGTTGGGGAAATTATGGACTGTGGCGGAATTCGGTAGGGGGGTCATTATACCGTATTTGGCAGATTTTTTTCGTCGCTGCTTTTGCTTCTTCTTCCTGCCGTCTTCACCCGAATAGAACGCCCGGTCATTAATTAGTATTATAATGATGCATTTGTGGCAACTTTCAGCCTTTTTTTTTTTTGTTAAGATGCAGCGATAATTGCTAATGAATGGGCGGCGTTCTATTCGAGTGAAGAGGGTATGACTCAAGAAATCAAACGGAAGACGGATTGCATACCAATCAACCGATTCGTTCCTCGAATCCTTTTACCAAATTCAGCAAGGAACAGGTTAATCGGAGCCATGCACACAAGCACAATCTTACTGTAAATGTATCTGACCTTACCATCTTCCCCCGAACACCACGCACCCTTATTTTGTCTGTATCTGGCCGGAAATATAGCTTGTATACATTCATTTTTAGGCTGCGTTATGTTCGGGGGAAGACGGTAGTTGCGGCTCTACTTGGATGTATCTGACCGCAATTACGTCCAGAAGTAGGGAAAAAAGAGTCCTGGTGTGAGTATGCCCTGAGTGTGGTGGATCGAATAGACGATTAAGTAGAGATGGCCCTTCTTCCTTTTTTTTCCTCTCTTTTTTTTTGTTTTCCCTTTCCTTTATAAAAAAAAATTCGAAGTCATTTTCCCGCCCTCCACACCGGCAGGCCTGCTAAGGCGTTTCCCGCCATTTTCTTGCCACGTCAGCGGAGTTCGTATCCGCAAGGCGATTACCCCNGGTAGGCATTGTTTGATTATTTTTTTACCCCTGCTCTTGGTCCCCGCCGTGGATGCGGCAAGCATCCGCTTGTTTTACTTATTTCTGGACGGAATTGCGGCCAGATGCATACAGGTGTGGCCGAAATTGCGGTCTTGATACATTCTGGAAAGTGCTAGTGTGCGTATGCCCTCAGTTGATGCACCCATGAATTGTTGAAAAACAGTCCCGAGTTCGAATCCAGATCCAATCAGATGAACAGAACCAAGCATTTTTTGAATTAGGACGTCGTACGAACGTGCGCTATCGACATGGGCCGGCTCCTGAGTTGGTGGCGCCTTGTCGGTGCGGCTCCCTGCGAGGAATATCGAGGAGTTGATGTGGGCAACGGGGACTACGGCGGCAGGCGATGACGCAAGGTTCCGTTGGTTTTGTCGGGCGCGGCCGTTGACGTGATGCTTCGGCTGAGGGTTCTTCCAGCCTTGATAACGTCGGCTGAAGACGTCTCTTGCTCTGTGCTTCGTTTATGTGGCATCGCGGGTTGACATCCTAGAGGAAGGAGAGGCTGTCGGGGTGATTAGGATAGTCTTCATGAGATCTTGGGCATGGTAGTGGCCCTGCTCCTATGCTCCTGCGCGAATCTAGTGGAGGTTGGCTGGGTAGCAAGGGCAGAAAGTGAGGAGAATCTTCTCATGCGGAGTGGGAGGAGGGTGGAGGGAGGCTTGTTATAAGCTGGAGCGTCAAAAAGAGCTGGCGGTTTCAAGCGTTCGTTTGAGCTGGTTCACCGGTTAAAGACGCGGACGCAGGTAGCGGCGCAATAATGACAGCAGCGATGGAGCAGGAGAATTTTGTGCGAACATGTGTGGCGCTCTTCACGTCGGCTGCCTTTTCAAATTGATTTCGCTGATTTTAATATTGCATCTTCTAATTTCCTAGATTCTTGCTCTAATCTAGTGCTTACACAGTTATGAATTCAGCTTCTCAAATCTGGAAAAATAAACTCACAATCTTATCTTCTATTTTCTGATCACCCAAATTCTCATCTACATGTCCACACATTCACACATATCCTTGAATTTCGACTACAATTTCTAAAAGTCCCAAGTAAAATATCCTCACCTACAAGTACACATATACACACAAACATATATCATCCATTCCGAATTGCCAGCACAATTCGTAGGGATCTGTTCTATCACTTCGATCCTTGACTTTCGACTATATTCTCTAAAAAGTCCCAAGCAAAGTTCTATCATGTGTTTCTAATCTTGGAACCCGAAAACTTTGGAATTCTACTATTATAATTTATAGCTATAAATTTTGAAGACCCTCTCCGATAATTAGTTTTTTGTTTCTTTTAAATTGGTGATACGTGCGCACTGCACATTGTGGGAGCTGCCAAACGTTGATTGGCGCAAGGGGCAGGGGCATAATTGTAATAGTCTTACTGCCACCCTGCGCCTTCTTCAGTGGGTTGTTCTTAAAGATGTAGGGCGTTTTCGGGGGTTATTGCATATTTTCGAAGAGGCCCTGCTTTTCCAAATTGCGATCGGCATTTGGTAGGTAAGTCATCAATAACTGTAGTTGGCTGGATTGGATCGTTCCCAGAGGGCTGAACGGAAAGAAGGGGGTGGGGGAAGCTCTATCTTGCAGGGCCATCACAAGGTGGAGGGTGAATGTCTCAAAGAGGGTAGGGGCGGAGTAGGGGGTTGCCCTATTCTGGGGCAGGGGCTGGTGTGTGGGTCAAC